TTTATTAGACTTCTACAAGAAAACAATGCCTTATATTGAATGTAATTAATGAAGGGAATAGACTTGCAACTACTATACCTTGGAGAGGTTAGTGAGATACACAAACTGTCCAAGTCTCTTTCGAAGTTCAGTCTGAGCAACAATTCGATCCGATGTAAACTTTAGTTTCTGCTGACTGACCTGCCAATCAAAACAAAAAGACCTCATTGATATTTAGAGAGAATCGTGAGTGAACAAATTAACCTAAGTATCTCAGGCATCAATAGTGACAAATTATGACTTCATAAAGTAACGTCATAAAAAGACTTTATGAAATCATGACGAAATTTTTTATTTAGTTATTTAACTATTGTAAATACAAAGTGGTTAAACGAGACTGAGACTGAGCTCATTGTTTATTCTATTGAAAGAAAAAGTCCCATACAACCATTCATTATGTTGCTTTTGTGTATTTCTAAAGCTTCTATTGTTCTGCATGTGTTTATAACACTAATTATTTAGGTTAGAATGTAAAATCTCCCAAGAGATGCTTTTGATGAATGTGATGATGATTAAAGATCAAAAGCAAAGTGATCAAGTCACAAAATGATTTTTCAATTTTGTTTCCTTATCTTGAAACAACATCATTTTCGATACCTTTTTACAAAAATTTATTCACTGCATTCATTTATGAAGCCGTCAAAGGCGAAACGTCTTAAATTAAAGATCACAGTATAATTGTGCCTTCTGAAGTCATAACTTTTCTAATTCACCATCACAGCTGTCAATCATGATCACTGTCAATCAAATGATACCTGGCAGGGTTGAATCACGTTTGTGTCATATTCAGATACTTGYTCACAAGCATGAGCTAAACGTARTCTTGTTGTACACATATCYARCTCATCCTTAGAAGAMACTCGTTCTCTCAGCGCAAACCAAGCTGCACGTAAAACCTACGTAAAATAAATACTGATAATTACGGRATCAGAAGCACAWWGTTTGTGGTAATCAGGGTGATCTTGGAAAGGTTYTTCRCCWATAAAAACAMATTTCAAATTTTCCAATAAGCAATGCGCAGCGACACCACTTTGTACARCAAAGCATGATGGTAGTTGTAGTCSTCCGTACTTTTCAAAGTCCGCCAAAACAGTCCTTCTTAAATGTTTTTTTCTATTTCTAAGCCAAAATATAAAAGATATTTTAGGGTCTGCGATAGTGTGAGAACTAAACTACCATCATGCTTTGCTGCACAAAATGACGTAGCTGCACATTGTCTTGATGTATAGTCAGTTTCTGCACAATRAGCATTTCTCTAATGTCCATAGGGAATTGTAAAGAATCTGATGCCCTGTCATTTCTCCTCTAAAATAATCCTAGACAAACGGGAAGCGGATATTTTCAAGTCAGTGTGCTATGGCATAATGACGTCACAGTATGTTTACATTGTGGGTAGATGCTCAGAAAGACTCGAAATTTGGACCTATTAACATTTTTTCCGAAAGAAGAACTTAATTAAGTATATCGAGTTTTGATGTACATCATTTATCAATTATTGCTCATCTACATTTTATTTGATATGAAGTCACTCTGATCCCCTCTAGCAACCATAATCCTTAGCGATAAAACAATAGTCAGAAAGGTGTGATGTAATTATGCGATAGGGCAATTGGCAATTGGAACATTGGAAAATTCTATCWAGGTGGAGAACCTTTTCAAGATCGGCTGTATGTACAAATGTATTTCTAATCAGCTCAATTTTACACAAGCTGCAATCTTGTAACATTAATCCCATTCAGTCGACTAGATTACGATGAGAATGACAAGGTAATAGTTAAAGAGTCTGATGTACCTTAAATTCCTTTCTAAGTGTTTCAATGAAAGCCAGATGATTAGCTGCATCTTTGTGAAGTTCACTTGCCAAACCTAAACACACAAAAGCCCTGATCAGCTTATATGTATTTATGTAAAATTAGATGAACGGTAGTCTCCTCTCGCAACCGTTACGAGGCTCGTTCCCCGGGCAGGTCACTCTCACCAGGGAGCGAACCTCATAACGTCTACGAGAGGAGACTAGATGAACAGTGCTCTTAGAAAATCAGATGCTTTCAGAATAATTCCYATTCAGATCCATTTTTCTCCTTTATTTTCTGAATTAACCCATCATAACTTCTATTTGTAATTTTATTAACCCTTGAAATAGGGGGTTTCTATCCCTTCCCCCAGACTTCCAATAGCTAAAACGTGAAATAAAGATTTTTCAAACCAATATTCAGCCTACCATGGTGTTTTATAAATGTAAATAATATCTTCAAGGCCTTTTCTGTGTCTGTCTCTGCACGAAGACCGCCAGTGTTGCCATAYTGATTAGATTCCACAGCTGTAGCATCGCTTTAAAATAACACAATACTCTTATCAAATAACTCCTCTATCTACACCTCTACTAACTCTGATATACATGAGACCCAGAAACAGTACGATACACTAATCACAGTACATGTAGCACCACAAAATATTCTCATAAAGCCCACCAAGGCGATCARAGGAGCGCACCAAAAGATACGTGTAAGTTCATTGCATAAAAAAGGATATAAAGTCAATCTCGTTAACGTTTTTCAGTCAACAGCAAAGTCATTTGCCTAAAACTTTTCTTAGAATTCCCAAGAAGAATTTTAATTCTAAACATGAGATACACCTACTTGCAGAAACGTTGTCATAGAAAATAGAACATTTGAATTTAGGAAAAAGAAAGAAAGCGTTCAGCCTCAGTGATCTTCTTTTGTCTTTTTTAATTTATTCCTTTTTACTAAATACAAATGTCCTATTTTCTATGACGAAATACATCAGTCATTTGTGCAGAGAACAATAAAACAACGCTTCCAGATATGACTACTGTTTGAAGATGTTTGGAATGGCTAGGTTTTTCTGTGTGCATTAGCAAACAGAACGATGTCCGGACAACCCAATTGTGGATAGATGCTCAGAAAGACTAGAAATTTGGACCTATTAACACTCTTTCCGAAAGAAAAAGTTTAGTGTATCAGTTTTGATGTACATCATTTATCAGTGATAGCTCATCTACACTTTTATTTGATATGCAGTCACTCTGATCCCCTCTAGCGACCATAATCCTTCTCGTTAAGACAATAGAATGCTTTGTTGTGACATAATTATGCGATAAGGCATTGCGCAGCGACGTCATCTTGTGCAGCAAAGCATGATGGTAGTCGTAGCCCTCGCACTGAGACCCTGACGTATTATACAATAGGGCAATTGTAGAAAGGAAATGTTAATAAATATGGACTTACTTTGTTTGTCCAGTGTTTCCCTTCATGCCTTGATGACCAAACAGTCTGGATTCATATTCAGAAAAAATACTGTCAACTTGACAAAACGAGCACCTAAAACAATACCAAAAAATACATTAAAACCTGTTTGACAAACTTGTTTATCTTGTTTATTGTCGTTATGAAAGTAAGAAAAAGTAGGTGGAAAATTTCTTCAAAAACTCCAATCAACATGTATGGCTTGTTTCTTTGGTTATGTTTGCGTCTTACTGTAGAATGGCCTATAAACCTTTTCGCGGTTAAAATCAAAGCGGACAACATTTTTGCTGCATCCCTCAAATGAACAAGAGCGCCAAGTCATGTCAAAATTATGAATTTTTTTCACCATCAAAAAGCGTTTTCCTGACATTGCAAAAGGATAAACAAGTTCAAAAACGACAACTTTTTGGGTTGTTGCTCGATTTTGCGCACTTTGRTGCAAAACCACACTAGGCTCCTCGTGCAACTGGTTTCCTATACACGAAAAGGGTTACAGTATTGTATATATACATGTATAACAAGATCAATACAAATAGCATTAAAATCTGTTTGACTTACTTGTTTGACTGCTTGTTGTCCTCTGRTTGTGATCTCAAGCAGCACATTGCAGTTGACTGGACAATGGAAGGAGATGGATCAACACAAAGTCCATCTAGTGCCTTCACCAGACTTTCACGAGTCCACTGAAACAACACAATCTTARATGTTAAGCTTGATGAAACATTGCTGATTCTTAAAAGTGGATGAAGTAGCCAATACAATTTTTGTAATCTAAATTCAGCCTGACTTTTTGAGAGTTTTTAAAATCATCATTGAATATTTTCAACCGTTCMMATGAGATTCAAAAGATAAAGACMGGCSRCCATGTTGGAGGAATGAACAATAGATACTAATGAGAAATCCTTTGTTGAAGTTCCTCCAATAGAGCGGATTTTGTATGAGTGGGACACCGTTACCGCACCGTTACCGCTACTGTACCGATGTCTAAGTTTGGCCAATCAGAAAAGAGAAAAGCTTCTAAGCACCAATCAGAAATCAGACTTACTGACGGTAATACCGCASTTACGGTTACCGACCGTAATACCGCACGCCAAGAGAAATCGTCCAATCACGAAACAGAATCACCATTACTGTTACCGTACGGCACTGGGAAAATTTGATCCAATCACAAAATAGCAAAATTTTAGAGAACCAATCGGAVATCCCAATTTTGGTTACGGTACAGTTACAGTCACGTTACAATACGTTGGGTTTCCCACTCATACGAAATCCGCTCTATTGGCCGCTGTGACGTATAGTGCAAACGAAAGTACACATCAACTGAGCGAACCTTGATTTTCTCTACTTTTGCTGTTAACACATACTGCAAACCTCTCCAATCAGTAAAACTAGAAATATCAAATAAAAACATAAACTAAAACACAACATGATTCTCTTTGCACATTTCAACCAATCAATGCGCGCATTATATATTATTAGTATTACCATACTAGTGGACTATTGCAAATCCTTCGTTCTGATTGGCTACGCTACTCGGGGTCTATTTTCAATAGTCCTAGACTAGCAAAAACCGACAACTTTTTGCATATTTTTAGCAATAAAAACATTTAGTTATTTATATATTTCATTCATTTTTTGTCCAACTAGTATGGTAATACTAAAACAATTAGATCTCTCGGCTTCGTGGACTACGAGCTGATAGCCCATGAGGCCGAACGTAGTCCACTCGCCCTCGAGATCTAATTGTTAAATAGTTAGTTACTTTATAGTAAATATCATGATGAAAATGATGTTTTGGTATTAGTTGTTAGCTATCTGTAATCTGTTCAACAATTCCATACATCAGAGATGCATATGATGCTGATTATAAATCTTAACAATCACCTTAATAAGTTAAAAAGTTATTCACAGGAGAGCGTGGGAGTCTAATTTCAATCTTAAAACATGAGAAAGCACTGATTTTGACCTCTAAAAGTACAATGAGCATCCCCACACTCTGATATTTATGAGTCCAAGTACAGTCAACACTCGCCTTACGGACATATCGCTGTTACGGACACCGCGATAGAGCGGATTTCGTATGAGTGGGACACCGTTACCGCACGGTTACCGCACAGTTACCGCACCTGGCCTGCAGAATTTTGGTGAAACAATGGGGCACTAGAATTTGGTTACAATACGATTACAGACACAGTACAGTACCGTCCGTTTCCCACTCATACGAAATCCGCTCTATTATGGACACCGTGATATTAACGGTCACCTCGAAATTACGGACAGGAAGTACTAAATTCCTCTCGAAAAATACAAAGAAATGAAAATAACTGAAAGTAACTCCCGTTACTGTGGACTCTCGCTATTTAGGCCACTGAATTACGGTCACGAGGATGTTCGTAATAGCGTGGGTTGACTGTATATATTATCAACAATTAAACATAGTATTCATTTAAGGGTCATTCACTAGACATTATTCTGAAAGAAAAAAAAAACACCTGTCAAGGATGGTACTRTTTTCCATGAAGGAAAGTTGGTCTTGTAATCTGTCTATCAATTCTTTATCCAGATATCTTCTTTGAGCACAATCGATAGCAATAACCCACCAAGRAGCAGCCTTGTCAGCCTTGACATCGAAGAGAGAAACAAAAACTGATTTGAAATGATCACATCCAGAGAAAAAGGAATGAAACATTACGTAGAATCAATATATAGTCTTGAACTTTCAAGATTTGGAGACAATAAAGCGATTTGAAAAAGCCTGTTAATCATACAGCACTACAAATAGCCTGCGCAGTGGCTATTGTTTTCCCCTCCTTTCCTAACTCCCTCCCCTTCTGTTTTCCCTCTTCCTGCCTCCCCTATAGCCGCAAATCAATCTAGTGTTGTTTTGGTTTCCAGTGTTCTCGCAATAACCTGGATATCCTTATTTTGACTGTGATTAAAATTTCATTCATGATTTAAACCAATCAGGACGCGCTACCTCTGCCGGCTGTGAGCACACGATTTAGTAGCACTTTTGTTTTTCCACTCCTTCCCTAACACTACAAAAGATTCAGTCCTGATATATGTTTCACTGTGTTAATCAGTGCGTGTACATGATGTACCTTCACTTTGAGTTCCTGTGTATGTTTTTTGACATCTTCTAGATTGTTTAGAGCAGTCTGTACTTGTGCATTTGGTTTTAGCATGTACTCCTCGATATGGATATCAATCTAAACAACAACAAATGAAACTGAATTTACAGTGCAAACAACTGATAAAATACTGCAAATTGATACGGTTCTAACAATTATTCCTATTTATATGATTTGACTTCATTCTAACTATTGACACTCTTATCCCTAGAGCGTTGGTATCCTAATTGGCAGTCCCAGGTTCAATTGCTGGTCTGACTACTAGCTGAGACTGAATTTGTTCCGGTTTTGATTGGTTCAAATTCACCTCCTCRCCAGTTGGAAATCTCATCTACTCTATGTTGTTTATGATTTCTGTTCTTGAGTTTATTGTATTTGTTAAAGGGTCATTTGATCATACATGTATCCATATGCGAATTTGCACCATATAAGTAATTTTAAATTATTACTGAATTATTATTACACATTTCTTTAGTTTTGTTTTTCTTTCTTTCTCCTCCTGAGGAGCCATGAGCAGTAGAAGGATTAACGCAATGAAATATTTGTACAGGAAAAATATCATTAAACAATATCCGTAGGAGTTGACCTACCCATRCCCACGTTAATTACAACAAACCATCATGGGTTGCTTAGGAAAGGGAAAGGAAAGGTTTTGGGWSCTAATCGTCCTTCATGGCAGCACAGGTACTGAATTGCGAAAGACGCAGCTCGACGCACTCTCAAGTCGAAGTGATACATGTATATTACAGACACATTTTACAATACAGCCACACATGCTGCCGGCTAGGCGCTTTCTTTACATAGCAACGTCGACTGAACGCGGAGCACAGCAAATAGAAATAGTTCGTTTTTACTAAGGGAGGAAAAACCGGAAAAGACCCGGAAAAACCCTCGAAGCAAGGGAGAGAACGAAAGAAAGTCAAATCACGTATGGCGCCCCGAACGAGATTAGGTCCACATGAGACCACTGCTCTAACCTCTCGGCCACCCTTGCTTCGCTTGATTAGCATTCATGCAGTTTTATTTGCCCAGCCTCTATACATCAATATGCATATATGTACCTCATCCTTAAGCTTGTCATCMCGTAAAGTGTGTGAGCACCCAGGGTAGCCATAAGACAGTACTTCATGAAGATTATGCAACGTATGGAGTTTCTATTTCCAAAAATGAATTAATTATGATGTCTTTATTTAAACTGTRCTTGAAATTTTCCAAAAACAAAACTTTCCTTCATATGTTTCCAATACATTTCATTCTAATTAATGAAATGAAGTATYAATAGAAACTGAGTGATGGATTTACCTGCAAACTGTCAGTTCTGAAGAATTTTTCATGCTCCATCCAGGACCGCATTGACTCACGGTAAAGATCAACTGCAGCAGGAAACTTAAGGATAATAAATTTATACTGAATTAAATTTTTAAAGTTATGGTTTCTTTTAGTTAATTTTATTTCCCTCAAAAGACTGTCCATAAAATTCCATTCACAGGCAATATAATATAAGTTTTAACTATTTCCTTTCTCCCTCAAAAAAAAATCCTGAAAAATGCCTTGTTTGTTCTTTGGGAAGTTGTATTGATCGTTTCT